AAGAGTAAGTGTATATACAACACTATCATTAACTGATATCATTGTAGGCTCTAAAGTATCTAAAGCTATATCTCTCTCAGTTGTAGAACTAAAAGGAATGAGATCAGGATTTGCCCAGTTCATTTCTGCCATGGTATCATTCACTTCAGGAGCTAATATCAATGTACAGGTTAATGAAAAGGAAGAAGAATGATCCAATGGCATCATAACTGGCCCTTGTACTTCAATACTGACAACTGAAAAAAGATTTATTAATAAAATACATTAGTAGCTACATTATACCTTGAGGCACAGTAACAGTGATTATTTCACTAGGTAAGTCTTCACCAGTAGCTACTAGTCTAATATTATATTCATCATCAGGACGTAATGAGAGAGACAGCTCAGTATTTGTAGTATTAGCATTGATAATAATACCATTACTGTTATTAACAAAGACATGATACTGAGGAGTAGCACTTATCACTGCTGAGGGAGACCAGCCTAGTGTAACTGAGGGAAGACTATCTCTACTGTAGACCAAGTTTGATGGAGATCCAGTTACTAAAAGAAAAAGTAGTAGCTAAAACAATCTGATAAAACTTACCAGTAACATTCCTCATTGCCATATTAGTAGATACTAAAGGTGTAGTTGTAATTCTGTCAGTAGTAACAGAAAATTTGTACAGGCCAGACACTCTCATTCTAAATATTACTGATACTTGTACTCGTACATCATTATTAACTGGTGTTACAGTACGTATCAGATCATTATCAGATACATTAAACTGGTTTCCATTATCAACAGAGCAAGTGACTATTGTTGGTGATCTATTAGTGACATTAAATGATAAACTAAACACTGGAGGATCAGCATCAACTGATGAGAGGAGCTGGAAGGAGGGACCACTACTAATAATTGGGAGTTCTGTATAATGAGAAAATTGAATAAAAGTATTATAAATTAAACTTACCGTCATCTTTAAAAAAATCTCCATTACCATAAGCAGCAACATACAGTGTCTGATCAATTCCTTCTTCATTAGGTATAACACAACTGTATAGTCCTTGAATACCTCCTATTCCTCCATTTCTTAACAAACCAATTTGACCAGTAGCAGTGTTGTTAGCAAACAGAGGCCTAGGATCATCATTTCCATCAGCAGAACCAGGTGGTACAGTTGTTCGGTCAGGATTATACCATGTTCCTATCATATTCTGATTAAGAGAACTCTGACACCACAAACCATCATTCTGACCATCAGGATCAGAACCAGTACCAATATCATTATCAGCTTGATCTATATCTCTATCATGAAACAGACCAGCAGCTATCATTGAGAAATTAGCAATAGTCACATTCTCCTCACCAAGAAACAACCTCACACCTATCAGTCTTAGATAATAAAATTGATGATTATTAAATACTGACCAGTAGTTGGACGAGGAGGTAGTGAACCAAAAAACGGTTGACCTGATACATGAAGTACCAATGATAAGAGAAAAAACCAAGACATTACTATTTCTCTTTATTCTATAAACTGCTTACTAAAATATTAGTCCAGGGTCGGAAGCACAAATGACTTATTACTACTGAGAGTTGTAGTACATCAATACAGTTATGATGAATGCATAGTAGTTCCCACAACGTCTATAAAAAATTCTATACTTGCTGGCTTACAACTAAATATTAGTAAAACACTATGTAAGCAATTCTCCATAAAATTGTACTACTATCAACACTACTACTGTAGCAAAATTAAATACCAGAAAAGCAAAAGTGGTCCAAAGTTGATCAAAAGTGGGGGGGGAGGGGAGTCAAATTTTGACTAAATTACACGAAGATCTAATCCATGCAAGGAGACCTGATAGTAATCTTTGGATAGAAAATAACAATTGCACGTCACGAAGTAATTTTGACCACATTTAGGTCAAAAGCATAATTTTCTTGATTTTAGTGAGATAACCTCTTATTTAATGATAAGATTAAGTTACAATATCCCTCTATACATCACTGTAATACTGTTTTCTAAAAGTTCCACGGGCACCTTTTTTTCAAGGGCTATAAATTTCGCGGATTTCACAATTTTTTGATGATTCGTGAAAATAATTACTATTACTTCCGCGAAAATCAAATTATTATGACACAAAATGGCAGAAGGCATAAATTCACAAAAATTAAATCCACAAAATATATTTAAATATATTTTAGGCAAACTTGCGAAATTACAGCCCTAAAAAATGTTGCACTACACGGTACCTAATACCTCCTATTAGAGTACCTGATTATGTACATGTGCCTGAGCTAGTACATGTATGTATGATCCACTGTAAAGGTAATACGCTCAAGTATTGCTTCAAAAGTTTGATATTTTATATATAATCCGTTGTCAAAAAGTAATCATTGAGCTACAGCAATTATCTTGAACAAAAAATCTACTATTGAGTTCTCATAAATTCTAATAAGTTACTTGGATTTGCTTCTTTCTCTGTCGATCATTGCCACTGAGAGTGGCTCACCAGGTAATCTCAACAACCCGGTCTCATTTGATAATATTTTATCAGCATCATCTGGAAAATAAGAAAAGTGTATCATTAAAAGGAAAAGAAAAAATACCGTATAGTGGAAAATTTTCGTGGCCCAAAATTTTCGTGGATTTCGCGTTTTTTTCAAAATCCGCGAAAATCAATTCTATACGGTTTAAGATGGCCAAAATGTAGAAACCACAAAAAAGCCACGAAATTAATTTTTGGACAGATCTGTAAAAATTTTGGGCCACAATTTTTTGCTATACGGTAGTGTGAGTTTAGTAAAAATAGGGATACTGGGCAGGCATGTGAAGTATTGAGGTTGAATTTCTATCCTGGATAAAATACCGAATGCAAAAAAAGTAAAAATTCATTCATGTATCTGTAAATAATAAAATACATGCACATGTGACCCCAATACAATAACTATCAAAACCACAAAAATTTACTCCCCAAACAATATTTTCTAGGATTTCCATAATTATTAATGTACATGTACATCTGTAAATGTGTCTTAAACAAAGTATAGTGAAGTACAATACATGTACATGTAGATGTGAATACATGACATACATGTACTTTAAGGCCTTTCTACACTTGTCTAGTTTGGATCCAGAATCAAGACAAAATCCAGGATTAAAGCAGGATTAGCTTGTTCACACTTGTCTTGAATCAGGATTGAAGCTAGATCCAGTCAATCCACATTCAGAGGTGGATTGAAATGAATTGATCTTAATTAAATATTCATAACCTGTAGAAGCCAATGCAGTTTAATTCACTTTTAATTCTTCAAAGTAGCTTAGTGTGAACACAACCAAAGAGGATTCTATTTTAGTAGGTTGCAATTCTGGATCCAAAGTGGACAAGTGTAGAAAGGCCTTTACTTAAAGGGACACATTCACGGAAGCACATCATCTTGAAAAACTGGCCCGTTTTTCAAGATGACATTATTAATGATGACGTGTAGTGTTGATAACTATTCATATCGAACGGCCGCACCCCTAAAAATTAAGGCAAAATGGCTACTCGAGTGGCTACTTGTAAATATTCCTGGTGTTTCTTCACTAAAAAGAGTATCTTAGGGTAGCAAAAGAGCTGATTCTGGTCAAGAGAAGTGTTCTAGAGATGCCTACTCCTGGTTCTACACCTGATTGCTCTGTCTCTACTCTCTACACATGTCTAAACACGTGTTATAACTATTAATTAATGATCTGTTGCACGCCCAATTTAATGTTTACTTCCTCTACAGTAACATGTGCATCTATTTCTGTGAACATGTCCCTTTAACATGTACATGTACATTTTGGTCCGACTCACTTAGTATCCTCTCCATTTTGTTTCCCAGTGCCATGTCTGCTTGATATCCAACAAGGAATGTTAATGGAATGAGAGGAGACAGAACTGCTGGGTTTTTAGTCTTAGCAAAACCAGCGATCATACCAAGTGTAGCTGTCACGTAAAAACCAGCATACCTATAATGATGATAATGAAGGAATATTAAAGGGGCAAGGAATATCAAAGGGAAGTGGGGAACAGCTATAGTAAAGCAGTTCCTTAAAAACAATACACATATACATGTATAATAGAAAAATTGGTTCATTTTTTTAAAATGCTCATAATTCAAAAAACAATTGTCGGAATTAGCTCAAACTTTCTACACAGCATAAGGACATCAATATGTATCAGAAAATTTAATAAAAATTGAGGGTGATTTTGGAGCCATTTTTTGGAAAAAACCATGGGCTAGAGCCTTGGGTAATTTTCAGAAAATGGCTGTTTTTTTTTAATATTAATAACTCAAAAAATATTCATCAGAATTAGCTCAAACTTTCTACACAGCATAAGGACATCAATATGTATCAGAAAATGTAATAAAAATTGGGGGTGATTTCGGAGCCATTTTTTGGAAAAAACCATGGGCTATATAGCCTTGGGTAATTTTCAGAAAATGGCTGTCTTTTTTAATATTAATAACTCAAAAAATAATTGTCGGAATTAGCTCAAACTTTCTACACAGCATAAGGACATCAATATGTATCAGAAAATTTAATAAAAATTGAGGGTGATTTCGGAGCCATTTTTTGGAAAAAACCATGGGCTATAGCCTTGGGTAATTTTCAGAAAATGGCTGTTTTTTTAAATGGTCATAACTCAAAAAATATTTGTCAGAATCAGCTCAAACTTTCTACACAGCATAAGGACATCAATATGTATCAAAAAATGTAATAAAAATTGGGGGTGATTTCGGAGCCATTTTTTGGAAAAAACAATGGGCTATAGCCTTGGGTAATTTTCAGAAAATGGCTGTTTTTTTAAATGGTCATAACTCAAAGAATATTCATCAGAATCAGCTCAAACTTTCTACGCAGCATAAGGACATCAATATGTATCAGAAAATGTAATAAAAATTGGGGGGTGATTTTGGAGCCATTTTTTGAAAAAAACCATGGGCTATAGCCTTGGGTAATTTTCAGAAAATGGCTGTTTTTTTAAATGGTCATAACTCAAAAAATATTTGTCAGAATCAGCTCAAACTTTCTACACAGCATAAGGACATCAATATGTATCAGAAAATTTAATAAAAATTGAGGGTGATTTCGGAGCCATTTTTTGGAAAAAAACCATGGGCTATAATTTTCAGAAAATGGCTGATTTTTTTAAATGGTCATAACTCAAAAAAATATTTGTCAGAATCAGCTCAAACTTTCTACACAGCATAAGGACATCAATATGTATCAGAAAATGTAATAAAAATTGGGGGTGATTTCGGAGCCATTTTTTGGAAAAAACCATGGGCTATAGCCTTGGGTAATTTTCAGAAAATGGCTGTTTTTTTAAATGGTCATAACTCAAAAAATATTTGTCAGAATCAGCTCAAACTTTCTATACAGCATAAGGACATCAATATGTATCAGAAAATGTAATAAAAATTGAGGGTGATTTCGGAGTCATTTTTTGAAAAAACCATGGGCTATAGTCTTGGGTAATTTTCAGAAAATGGCTGTTTTTTTTAAATGGTGATAACTCAAAAAATATTTGTCAGAATCAGCTCAAACTTTCTACGCAGCATAAGGACATCAATATGTATCAGAAAATGTAATAAAAATTGGGGGTGATTTCAGAGCCATTTTTTGGAAAAAACCATAGGCTATAGCCTTGGGTAATTTTCAGAAAATGGCTGTTTTTTTTTTAATATTAATAACTCAAAAAATAGTTGTCAGAATCAGCTCAAACTTTCTACACAGCATAAGGACATCAATATGTATCAGAAAATGCAATAAAAATTGGGGGTGATTTCGGAGCCATTTTTTGGAAAAAAAACATGGTGCCAAGTGTCTCTGTCCCCCTAATTACATTGTAAGTCAGAGCCATAAAAATGCTGAAAAAGCCAGTAAATGCTGAGAAAGAATGTTTTCCTACACGTTTCCTCTGTCTTTCCTACATGTTTCCTTCATTATTAAAATTAGTAATTCTTTAGCCAGTTATTATTAATTAGTTTATAATTAAAACTATAATTGATGGATTTCGCGGTCAATAATAATTAGTTTATTATTGCAAGCTTGACAGAATCATTTTTAAAAAAGGTCGTTGTCAATAGCCAATTAAAATTTCGACGCAAACGACATTTGCAAGCTCAAGTTTTAGCAAATGAAACCAGATTACCCTCCCCCATTCACTAAATTTCACCCAAACAAAATTTTTAAATTAAAAGTTTGCCACACCCATTCATTATAATTAATTATTTTGATAAGAACTACCCGGTAATTTTTATTTTATTCATACCAGTTGAATGCTTCCCTAGCCATCGACAGCTGCTGTGCCACTCCCTTGTTCCTCATTTGTACTTGCATCATCATTTGACGCTCCATCTGAGAGACAGAAGTGAAAAAATAGCCTCAAAATAGGGCCAATCATACATTCTAGGAAGAAAGAAATTACCTGCATCTTCTGAGCGGAGAGCTGAAATTCTTGTTGCTTTTTCATATTCTCGTCCATCACATTGCTCATAGGTTTTGTGAAAAAGCTACCCATCTTTTTGTCTGAGTTTTAATTATGAGTTTGATGACCTTTGGCACTTATGAGACTAATTTCCGTTTCCGTATATTTTTAAAATGAAATTTTAAACCAACAAATCTGCGGGGGCGTAAAGATTTGGGTTGTACAGTACTTGCTCTTTTGTTTTCCAGGATGCTATTGTAAAGTATTATATAAGAAGGTAAAAACCATTGAATGTACATAATAATTCTTAAAGTAGATCTAAAATTTTACTCAAATCAAGTTCAATCTGATGATCCAGTTAAATGTTAGTCTCGTTAAATGTAGCTATTTCAGATTGGACGACTCTGAGAGGCGATAATTTTAATATTAGTAGCACAAGATATATTATTATGCTTTGTCTTTCAAAGCCTACACATATAACGATGGGTTAATATGATAGCACTGTGTCACACTGTCACTCCTAATAGCAACTTCAGATGACATCATTCACAGTTATAGCTACATTTCCTTGATATTTATGATGAGACGGAAAGAAGTCTATCTCTGCTCAGACTCAATGTCCCAGTAATGTAATAAATTTTGATTAGAACAGAGGCACCATGAATGTTTGGACAATCACATCCTCTATAATTTTCCCCAGGATGTGGCACTACTATAATTTACTATTGGTAGGATTACTGGCACTGCATGATGCATAGTCTAAGTAATAGATTAATAAAATTTGAATTTATCATTTTGCTATTGTAGTGCTTTAAACATTAGCACTTCTAATCATTATGTGCATCGAATCTGGTTAGTGCCTATTAGCGATAAGCTCTCCTTTATCACATAGCTCTGTTAGCAGTCTTCAGACACAACACTTGAATATCTTCACACACACACACACACACTTGCTATTTAATAAGTATAATAGTATTAATAGTATTACTGTGTCCTCTATACTTAGTTAACACATGATAATGTTAAATAGACTATGTTAGTACTACATGCTACATGCATATTTAATTTTATTAAATCTGGTGCAAGAAAAGGCCTTAAATTGTGTTTTAACTGTGTTTATTATGAATAGGGAATCTATGAAATAGAATTAATAGGTCTATTAGCTAATCCAGCAGTAATAAATCGGTTTGAAAAGCCATTGCGATCATGCTTGCCATCAGGCTACTTTGAAGGGTCATGCAGTGGTCTTGAAAGCTGCTTGATAACAGAAGCAATATAATTTTGTGCATAACAATTAAACACTAATCATGAGTGGGTGTCAGGAAGTAGTCATGTATAAATAGGCCACAAGCTGGTCAGACTGCAGGTTGTCTTCTTACTCTTGAGTTGGCTCAAAGAATGGCTAGAAGAAAGGCTGATGTTGCTATTTCGATGGAAGTAAGTTGTTGTATAGTCTTTTACTTTCAGTTGTGATGCATATATCACCTCTTATGCTTGGCTGCTGCTATCCATTTGGCAAATTTGTTGCTAGTATCTTGGACAACATGTTGCTTAAAATACTACTTTATGCACTGGTTGAATCGCTTGATCCAAATGTTGCATAAAGTAGTACTAGATTTCAGGTAGCGTGCTGTCCAGCCTGCAACATTAAAGCCCCCTACACTAAGCAAAACATGCTGCTTGCAACATCTGTGGTTACTTTGATCTGTAAGCAACATGTTGCCAGAAATAGAAGGCTGTTCTATTTCTGGCAACATGTTGCTTACAAGTCAAAGTAACCACAGATGTTGCAAGCAGCATGTTGCTTAGTGTATGGGGCCTTTAAAGGTACTGCCTATGGATGATCAGTTTAAATGTAATGTTTTCTGGAGTTATACATGCTATGTCCCTCCAGCTCCTCTCAAGTGCTTTACTTCTCTTCTTTATATTCTATCATTTTATTGCTATTTTCTTTCTCTTTCTCATAGCATCTGGGAGGTGGCCCTATAATCATTAACAGCAGGAATGCTACTGGTAAATTGAATAATGTGCTACCTGTACAATATCTTGAATACTTAGTAACTATTATGATAAATATTGTAATCAGTTATAAGCGTTTTGTAGTTACGATAGAGACCATATGCATGTGGCAAAATTCTCATGGTGTATTTTATACCGTATATATACCAGGATTTGTTGATGAGTAAGAAATTGATGAAAACAGTAAATTTCCCTGTTGGTGAGTTTTAATTTGATGAATAATAGAAATTTGTGCCTTTGTGTAAATTTGGTACAAAGTACAAATTTTGACAGCTATAAAATTTGATGTTTTATTTTAAATTGTCAATTCATCAAAATGCAACCTTTTTCAATAAATCCTGCTATACGGTGTGCACAAGTAATCTTAATTACTATGCAAATTGGAAAAATAGTTATTCCCCATTAGTGTTGACCCTATATATTATATATATTGACCCTAACACAGACAGAACTGAATATTTATTCTAATGGAGAAGTGCTAGCCAATTCAAAATAGCTATTTATCCTAATCGAGAAGTGCTAGCCAATTCAAATAGCCATGAAGTCTGTGCATGTATAGTTAAGCATTGATGCCCAAGTCATTGTGTACAAAATGCTCCTCTATAATGTGTTATCAAAACTGTGTTAACTTATAGCAGAGCAGAAAGTTTGATATAGTTTCTTCCACATTGCTATGTATATCTGGGGCGTTGCATGTATGCATGTGTTGTATGAAATATCATACAGTAAAGCACTTTTTGAGATTTTGTTGAATTTGCATTCTTTACTTTGGCAATTTTTTTTGTATACACGTGCATTACTGAGTATGCACATTAATGAGTGGCGGTTTTAATCATGGTAATTTTGTTTGCAAACCGCCAATTATCAAAATAAAACTCTACCAAATTAAAGCGCTATACAGTATTTAGTATTGAAACACAATGTTAAGTTCAAGTTATTATGAATATACTATAAAGTTTCAGGCATAAGCTACACTTTTTTGAAATTTTGAATATTTTACAGATAAAAATGGTCGCACAAAACTTCACAGAGCTTGTATGAATAGTGACTATGATAAAGTTGCTGAATTGTTACAGAAGGAAGGAGTGAATATTATTGCTACTGATAAAAACAAGAGTACACCACTTCATCTTGCTTGTACTGCTGGTAATGAAAGAATCGTGGATCTTCTTATTAAGAAAATTGCTGACCGTCTTGCACCTGCTTTGCAAAGAAATTTTATCAATTCAACTGATGGAAATGAAGTAAGAAATACAATAATAGTAGTAATATTAATAATGCTAATTTATCTTTATTATTATTTATTACTATAATCAAAGCTAGCCTTACAGTCATGTTATTGTTATTATTATAAAATAAATTTTAAGAGTATAATTGAAGAGAGAGCTCAAAAAATAAACTGTAAAGGAAAAACAAAAATAAAAAACAAAAATGAAAGAACAAAAACAATAACAAAAAATAAATAAAAAGGAAAGCAATAAGATTATTATTTTATTATTATGAAGCAAAGTGTGAAAGGGAGGACATAAAATACAAGAACAAAAAAACATACAAAAGGAAAGCTAAAAAATAAATAATAGACATACAAATATAAATAATTTATCATTATTATTATTGGGTATTATGTACTTTTGCTATTATTATTATTATTATTATTATTATTATTATTATTATTATTATTATTATTATTAGTATTATTATTAGTATTACTAATATATTTTGTAGAACACACCACTTGGTATTGCCTGTTATAAAGGACATACCCAGGTAGCTGAACTGCTATTGAACCATGGAGCTGATATCAACCACACTAATAGCCAACAAGTATGAGACATTANAGAGTGGAGAGAGAGAGAGAGAGTGATGCATCTGCTCTATATACACTTAAAAATAATGAGTAGAATTT